ATGGTTTCTGTGTATATGTTTGGCACCAAAATGAACTTGAAAGCTCATTGGTTGTCTTGGTCCCCATGTCATCTTCACTGAATGCACTGGTGTAAGTTTACCCTAAGGCTTCTTTGTAAGGGGGTGAGAAGAGATGTTACACTGACAATAATTGGTTGTCTGTTCAAATTACTTTGAAATATATACACAACATTTTGTGTAATGCTACAGAAGATGTGCTTATATGAGTTAAGTGTTGCTTTATATAATTTCTGTTGTCACGTGAAGATGTTTGTCTGTCTGACAGTGTGGCCAGGATGTGGTTTATTGTTAGTGAGAGTGGGTGAAGAGAAGTACAAAACTGAAACAGAGAGACTTAGCCATATAGTTTCTCTGAGCTTATGTGGGGGCTATATCTGTTATGCTTCACTGAGTTTCAACTCTCCTGTTACCCTGAAATCTGCTAACACCTTTTATTCACTGGGCTCAGTTTGATATCTATAAATGTATTTTGTACTTTTTATTGGTATATATTTTTTGTTATTTATAACATATAAAAATAATAACAATATCTTTCAGCAAGGACTGGAACACTATGTATGCCGTCAACTTGACACCAAGAAAAATAAACATGGTTTGCTGGGCATGCATTGTATAAAGAGACAGCAACCACGAAATGGAACCAGACATTTATCCACAGTGGCCTGGATTGCAAAGAAAGGGCAATCGCTGGACCCATTTATCTCATCCGTATTGCTGTGAGTTTGTTTTGCTCTTGTCTGCCCTTGTCTCCTTGTCATCAAAGTGTATGATATGGGAGAAAATATCACCCAAAACAAATGTGTAATTTTTTTTATATTTCTCATGTTTTGTACAGCAAAAAGACCCTGGGGTCAAGTTGACCCCAAGGAACACCGATGTTACAAAATGTGTACAAGGCATTGAAAAAATAATGTCTTGTTAATTTTATGTTTACCAAGTTTTCCCCCATTAAATTAGGAAAAGTCATTCAATTAAAAAAAAAAAAAAAACAATGTCAACTATATATGCACATACATTAAACAACGAATGGGTTCAAATTGACCCCAAGTATAATTAGGGGGTTAAACCATAAATATGCTCTGGTTTTTACTTCAGTCATGCACAAAATATGGAAACAAGGAATATATTTTAGTCAACTAGAAATCTAAAACAATTAATAGCTATAGTGTTATTGTCAGCAGAAACTAGTCAGAGCGAGAAACAAAGGCAGAGATGGTGTGGTATATTTGTTGTTCATGTTAAAATAGAAATAAGTTGTGTTTGCAAGTTGTGGTATATCCGGCATTGTGGGAAAAATCACAAGACCTGACACAACAAAACTGGTAAAATAAAACAAAAATTAAATAAAAATGCAAAGCGTAGCAGTTTGTAAACCCAAATCAACTACAAACTACAATATTCTGAAGCAAACTTAGCAGCACATCACTGAGTAATTTACAAAAATGACTGCCATGGTTGAAACGAGAAAAACTAATTATAAGGGTTGCAATGGTACAACTTCCACATAATTTGGATAGTATCGCGGTTTAAGGTCAAGGTTTCAGTAAAGTATTGATAGTTTACTTAGAATGTTGATTCATCAAAAAAAATTTAAACATTTTGTATTATTATACGGCTGTCTGGAATACTCACTCCTGATTGGTCAGTTGCGACATTCCAAGATTATACTCAGTTAACAAGACAGGCACATCCAGATACTTCGAATCACCTGAATGTCTTCAAATATCCTTTCATCCACATTCATACAGTATATCTGCTTGTGACAATTTTGGATTGTTTGGCACCATTTTGTGCATGAATAATACGCTTTATTCAGCTGGTTTCATTTGTCAGCTTTGTGTTTTTGACTGTTTGGCGCCAACTTGTGACTAAATAATGCACAATTTAGTGCACCAGCTGTTTGTTTTAGTCAGCTTTTGCATTTAACTATATAATTAATAAATTATTATTGCTCAGAACATTTACATTTTACATTTACATTTAGTCATTTAGCAGACGCTTTTATCCAAAGCAACTTACAAATGAGGACAAGGAAGCAACTTACACAACTATAAGAGCAACAATGAATAAGTGCTATAGGCAAGTTTCAGGTCTGTAAAGTCTAAGAAGGAAAGTATTAGTAATTTTTTTTTTTGGGGGGGGGGGGGGGTACAGTTAGTGTGATATTCAGAGAGGCAATTGCAGATTAGGAAGTGAAGTGGAGACTAAATAGTTGAGTTTTTAGTCGTTTCTTGAAAATAGCGAGTGACTCTGCTGTTCTGATGCAGAACAATGTGTCTATTGTTATGTTTTGTGGCAATTACCTGTGTAATAAGTGGGATAAAGTACATCCAGGACAGTTGTTTTCACAAAAAATAAAGCCCTTTAGTCTACAACAGTGCTCCGTTTCGATTCAAGAGACAGATAAGTCTATCTCGTTTTATTCTGTGATAACAACCTACTGGACCTTCATAATCCCTTATTTAAAGCTCAACATGAG